GTAGGCGGAGTCCAGAAGCCCAGGACCCACCCCTGTCGATCGTAGCCATATTGTGCCCCGCTCTTTCTGGGGTGCTTTTTTTGAATGAGAGGTGAAGCTTTTCCCGCACCGTATTTCTAGGTATTGATCATTTTCAGGTCGAATATAATCGCTATCTGTTTTTGCCCACTGTGGATGGCCGAATCGTTCCGGCAAATCCACGATGGCTTCTGGACTCTGTGCCTTCAGGAAATGTGGATTACCCGTCACCAGTGCCTTATCTGACAGGATTGAACAGAGATGATGGTTCCGAGGTACTTCTGAATATTTATATGTAGGATTTTTAGGGGTCCTGTTATGGCAAAGTGGATAACGATGGAGTGTTTGTGCACTGAGCACTCGAGTACGTCTCCAGACAGAGCCTCATGTGAGGTAAAAGCACGATGATGTTCACCCATCTTTCGGGTCTGACAGCAACTGAAGACAGCAAACAATACTGAGTGCTTTTGCCTCCCGAAAATGCTTTTGGTTTCAATTTTTATTAAACTCTGTGCTTTTTGCGTTTTTGTAAATCCAAGTAATCACTTCCTACTGTATCTTCAAGCATCCGCGACAAATGTTTTGGAGTCGATTGAATTGGCAATTGCCAAAATTCTGCAATGGTATTTATTCGCTCTCAGCTTTACCTAAGCATCAGCTTCATAAATTGGAAGGCCCACCAATTTTATAAAATAATTCCCATTCAGAAGCTTTTCCTTTTGCCAACTTTTTTATTTGTTTTTTTCTTTTGCTTTCTCAGTTTTTATTTGCTTTTGCTTTTTTTAGTTTTTTTTTTTTTTTTTTTGTTTTTCATAGGTAATTGTACGTAGTGGGGTCAAGATTTCACGTAGCTCCCCGATAGTGATTTTGAAAATTTGTTGGATTCAGTTTCCGGGGTATCTTCCCCTGCGAATCGTTACGGTTATGCCATAGCCTTCACGTGCCATTGGTAGCGCATCTAGCATTTTTGGGATATCGGAAAAAGAAAGTAGGAAAACGAAGCGAATTCCACCAGCAGGTTGATGATACAGTTTTTCTCATAGCAGAAATGAGCAATGCGATTACTGAGTTCTAAAAAACCATTAAAATGTAAAAGTGAATATTTTGGTGTACTTAAGTTTCATGGCTGTTTTACAGGTAATCCTGGAGGATCGATTGTTGGGTGAATTTAACGATTTTTTGCTGGTTGATCAGCAGTATCTGAAAAGTTACGTGCTTGAGTACGCTTTCCGTCACAATTATACGACGAATCGTGAAGCTATAGCGGAAGCCATTGAGGATCGCTACACGTATTGGCCGGATGCATCCGATGAAAATGCAATTCGGAAACATTTCATCCACGTATGCTCAGTTTGCTGATTTAACTGCTTATCATCAAAGATTAAACACCACAGACTGAATTTTTTTGCTGACTTTCAAATATAATTAAAAAGTGGGTTGGTTCTGGTATCGCGTATGAACGTGTCGATGGATCAGAGGAACCACTGTGGGTGCTAGACTGAGCCAGAAACAAAAAATACTTTACTGTATGAAAAGCAGAAGTTGAACAGGATGAGTATTCGACGAATCACCAGAACTGGTATGAAAAGATCGGTTGATGAAAGGCACTCAGGCGGTAGACGTTGACGAATGATATACGCAGACCCCAAATCATCGGTTCACCCGCCTTATATATTGATGTTCCCGTAGTAGATGTCACACATTACAACCACCGTAACGGCCTTTATCCAGAGTTCCAGAATGGATGCTACGGGGACCAAGGATGGATTGGGGACGGAAAGTCGGCGATGGGAAGGTTGACGGGGGAAAGGGTGGGTTGAGAACGGAAAGTCCGATCTCTGTCGAAGATCAGATCTCCGATGGGAACGTCGTTTGTCTGCGTTTAACTGGAATGCCATCGAAAGATAACGCACTTTTTACTTTATTTTCATTTTTATAATTTCGACTGAGAGGGAGGGGG